AGTCTACTGAACAAGCCAGTGCCTGCTGCATACCAGTACTGAGGAGTTATGAAGGTGGAGCCATGACTTTTCATTCAACCCTCAACATTATTAGGGATCTTGGACAATCGGAGGTCCTGCCTCATTGGTAATTGTAGCCAGTTAAAGGGTTACATCCAGTTAGGGATCAGGCTTAATTGGGGATCCTAGCAATGCGCCGTGACCAGCATGGATGAATGAAGCCATATTCTGGAAGCCATTTATTTGATTCTATTTCTTCTCCTTTCCCAAAATACTATAATAATCCCCCGAAGGGTACAGGTGCAGCGGTCTGTTTTGGCTCCTGCTGCTGCTGCAAAATCGAAGCAGCCCCCTTTCGCTCAACGTATAAATAAATACACGTTTTCCCCCCGTGATCCCAGAGACCTGTTTGGAATTGGTTTCGGTGACATTGGCGCCCTGCTGCCTCTTGCAATTGCTTTGCTCGGGGAAAAGGAACAGAAAAGAAAATACCTGACACCTGGCTCCCTTCCGACAGGTGAAGTCAGCATTGAGGTTTGTTTGCAAGATGAGGTTGGAAGGAGAGGCCAAGAGGGATCCCAGAAGTGCTTTTTAGGGAAGAGAGAGAAACCGGGGTATCAATAGAGAGACAGGTAGGTAGGTAGGTAGGTACATAGGTAGACAGACATGAATGGATGGATGGATAGATGATCCATATGACAGACAGACAGATAGACAGACAGGTAGGTATGTAGGTAGGTAAACAGATACGTAGATAGACAAATGGACAGAGAGACATAAAGATAGATAGGCAGACATGTAGGTAGGTAGACCAATAGATAGATATGTAGACAGATGGATAGGTAGGTAGACAGACAGACATGTAGGTATGTAGGTAGGTAGATAGTTATGTAGACAGACAGACGGATAGATAGACATGTAGGTAGGTAGGTAGGTAGGTAGGTAGACAGACAGACAGATATGTAGATAGAAAGATAGGCAGACAGACAGACAGGTAGGTAGACAGATATGTAGACAGACAGACAGACAGGTAGACTGATAGATATGTAGATAGACAGAAAGATAGACAGACAGACAAGTAGGTAGGTAGACCAATAGATAGATATGTAGAGAGATAGAGATAGAGAGACAGACATCTAGGTAGGTAGGTAGGTAGATATGTAGACAAACAGGTAGGTAGATATGTAGACAAACAGGTAGGTAGGTAGACAGACAGATAGATATGTATATAGACAAACAGGCAGGTAAGCAGGTAGGTAGGTAGACCAATAGATAGATATAGACAGATGGATAGGTAGGTAGATAGACAGATAGACCTGTAGGTAGGTAGGTAGACAGATACACATGTAGGTAGGTAGACAGACAAGATAGACAGACAGGTAGGTAGGTAGATATGTAGACAGACAGATAGATAGACCTGTAGGTAGGTAGGTAGATATGTAGATAGACAGACAGATATGCAGGTAAGTAGGTAGATAGACGGATATGTAGATAGACAAACAGACAGATAGATAGACAGACAGACAGGTAGACAGACCAATAGATAGATATGTAGACAGATGGATAGATAGGTAGGTAGGTAGTCTCCTTTTGATTGACATTTCTCCAGAGATGCTGTATTGGGTTAGTCTAGATGACCGCAAGGGACCCTCCTTACTAAGAAAATAATAATAATAATAATAATAATAATAATAATAATAATAATAGATACATAGCCGCTTTAAGTCTCCTCGTGGAAAGAAAAAGTGGGTATAAATAAACAGAATAATGATATTATAAAATAATAATATATAATAATGTTATATATTATTTTGCTTATTTATACTCTCTGCTTTTTCTCTCCACAAAGAGACTCAAAACAACTATGTATCTGTTATTATTATTACAACAGATACATAGTTGTTTTGAGTCTCTTTGTGGAGAGAAAAAGCAGAGTATAAATAAGCAAAATAATAATAATAATAATCGATACATAGTTGCTTTGAGTCTCTTTGTGGCGAGAAAAGGGTATAAATAAACAACAGCAATACTAATAATCTAACATAATGATATATAATAATAATATTAATAATTGATACATTGCCGCTTTGAGTCTCCTTGTGGAGAGTATAAATAAACATATTAATGATAATAATAATAACTCCCTAAAAATGGATGGGTTAATTGAGAGAGTCTCTTGTATAAGAGGGGAAAAAAGATACCTGTGTATTTTAGAAAACTTTAAAGTGCAAAAAAAAAGTGAAATGACTAATACGCACATTCCCAAGCAGGTAGGACATAGGAAAGGCTCTTATCTATCTATGAGCGAATGAACACGGCGTGTTTTGGGAATCGGATCTGTCTTGTTCGTTGATTTTCTTTCCAGCTTCCTTAAGAGCCCCGTTTTGCAGACATGTCCTTAAGGCTCGCAAAAGCACGAGTTGTTAAAATCGGAGGCGGTTGCCATCTACAACGGCTTCGGCTTCCGACCCGAGGCGAAATTCCCCATCAGCCTGAACATGACGGCAAAAGCCTACTTTGCCAATTAACCCGCCAAAACCGTGTCTTTTGCAGATGCCGGAAGCCTCTGCGGAGAAAGGCAAACGATGGCAGCGAAGCTTCAGAACGCTTGCAGTCTTGGGATGAGAATCCATTCCATTGCAACCTTAGAACGTCTCCAGTTGGGTTGCAATCTTTGGATGTCCATCTGGGTTTGGGGATCCACTACATTGCCGTCTTGAGATCCATCAGAAGGGAGGTGGATCTGCTCCAGTGTAATCTTGGGACATATTGATTGGGTTGCCATCTTGTAATCTTAGGATACATCCCTTGCAGTCTTGGGAAACGTTGATTGTGTTGGGCATCTGCTCCATTGCAATTTTGGGGGATATCGGTTGGGTTGCCATCTTGTAATCTTGGGATACATCCATTGCAGTCTTGGGATGTATCCGTTGGGTTGGGGATCCATTCCATTGCAATCTTGGCACATATCAGTTAGGTTAAGACATATTGTTTGGGTTGCCATCTTGCAACCTTGGTATGCATCCATTGCAATCTTGGGGTATATTGGTTGTGTTGCCATCTTGTAATCTTGGGATATATCCATTGAAATTTTGGGATGCGTTGATTGGGTTGGGCATCTGCTCCATTGCAATCTTAGGACACATTGGTTGGGTTGCCATCTTGCAACCTTGGGATATATCCCTTGCAATCTTAGGATACATCCATTGCAACCTTGGGATATATCCATTGCAATCTTGAGATGTATCAGTTGGGTTGGGAATCCACTCCATTGCAATCTTGAGACCTTTTGGTTGGGTTGCCAATGTTGGGGTGTATCCATTGCAATCTCAAGATATATCCGTTGGGTTGGGAATCCGCTCTATTGCACTCTTGGGACATATCCATTAGGTTGCCATCTTGGAACCTTGGGATATATCCATTGCAATCTTGGGATGTCACCAGTTGTGTTGCAGATACACTCCAGTTGCCATCTTGGGACCTTACGGTCTAGTTGTGGGTCTTCTCCATTGCAATCTTGAGATGTATAAGTTGGGTGGCCATCTTGCAATTTTGGGATGTATGTATATCCATTGCAATCTTGGAATGTATCCGTTGGGTTGAGGATTCACTCTGTTGCCATCTTGGGACCTTTTGGTTAAGTTGTGGATCTTCTCCATTGCAACCTTGAGATGTATCAGTAGGGTTACCATCTTGCAATCTTGGGATATATGTCCATTTCAATCTTAGAATGTACTGTATCCGTTAGGTTGGGGATCCACTCCATTGCCATCTTGGGACTTTTCGGTTGGGTTGCCATCTTGCAATCTTGGGGAGATGTTCTTTGCAATCTTGGGGTGGATCAGATGTGTGGTGGATCTGCTCCATTGCAATCCTCAGACATATCGGCTGGGTTGCCATCTTGCAACTTTGGGATATATCTATTTCAATCTTAGGATGTATCAGTTGGGTTGGGAATCCACTTGGTTGCCATCTTGGGACCTTTCAGTCTTATTGTGGGTCTTCTCCATTGCAATCTTGAGATGTGTCTGTTGGGCTGCCATTTTGCAGTCTTGGAATGTATCTGTTGGGTTGAGGATCCCCTTGGTTGCCATCTTGAGACCTTTCAGTCTAGTTGTGGGTCTTCTCCATTGCAATCTTGAGATGTATCAGTTGGGTTGCCATCTTGCAATCTTGGGATATATATCCATTGCAATCTTGGAATGTATCTGTTGGGTTGGGGATCCACTCCGTTGCCATCTTGGGACCTTTCAGTCTAGTTGTGGGTCTTCTCCATTGCAATCTTGAGATGTATCCATTGGGTTGCCGTCTTGCAATCTTGGGATACATGTCCATTGCAGTCTTAAGATGTATCCGTTGGTTTGGGGATCCACTCTGTTGCCATCTTGGGACCTTTCGGTCTAGTTGTGGGTCTTCTCCATTGCAATCTTGAGATGTATCAGTAGGGTTGCCATCTTGCAATCTTGGGATATATATCCATTTCAATCTTGGAATGTATCCATTGAGTTAAGGATCCACTCTATTGTCATCTTGAGACCTTTTGGTCTAGTTGTTGGTCTTTTCTGTTGCAATCTTGAGATGTATCATTTGGGCTGCCATCTTGCAACCTTGGGATACATGTCGATTGCAGTCTTGGGATGTATCAGATGTGTTGTGGAACTGCTCCATTGCAGTCCTCAGACATATTGGTTGGGTTGCCATCTTGAAATCTTGGGATATATGTCCATTGCAATCTTGGGAAATACCAATCACAATCCTAAGCTACATCCATTGCAATCTTGGGATGTATCTGTTGAGTTGGGAACTCCAATATGAGTGCAACGTTCATTCTTCATTCTGAATGGGTGCATCTTCCGGGAGTTCTTGAGTTGCATCTCCCTGCAAGGCGGAAAGGGGATGGACCACATGCCCTTTGGGGCTCCCTTCCCATTATGAATTGGACTCAAACAGCCTTACTCCTCCTCCGCACGCTTACACCTCTTTCCTTCCTCTTTCCGCAGATGCGGTGATAAGAGATAGACAAAGAGATAGATACTCTTGACTGGCAAAGGGGAAATCGATGGCGCCGAGGGACGCTGGATCAATGGCGCCGTTGTTTTGTGCAAGAGGTAGCAATCGACACCGCCGTGAGAGTGGATTAATCAGGACAAGCTGGTTTGTTTACCAAGCCACTCCAGACGGTAAGCAGTGCATTAAGGAAGTCCCTTTGTTTCCTTCTGGGAGGGAGATTCCCTTCTAAGCCTAGCGGGGTCTGGCCCACCTTTCACTCGCTCTCAGCCTTCCCTGAAACCGAGACAGGGAACATTCACATCTGCCAAGCTTGTCACTCTATCCAGGACTAAAATTTTGAGAAACCTATCATTTAGATTAGCCAGGTATCCCTGCGCTACCCCTTTACCTATACGGTGCTGCTTTTCCCCTCCTGCGTTATCTGGCCCTGAAGGCTTGAACCTATTCGGAGCAGCTCATGTTCCAAGCCGGGAAAGGGAGGAAGGAAGGAAGCCTTTCTCAGAGCTGGAGAAGGGAGGAAGGAGACCTTTATCAGAAATGGAAAGTGAGGAAATAGGCCTTTGTCAGAGCTGGAGAAGGGATACAATATTCCTTTTTCAGAGCTGGAGAAGGGAGAAAGTAGTTCCTCCTCAGAGCTGGAGAAGGGATAAAGTATGCCTTTCTCTGAGCTGGGAGGAAGGAAGGAAATCTTTCTTAGAGGTGGAGAAGGAAGAAAGTAGATCCTCCTCAGAGCTGGAGAAGGGATAAAGTAAGCCTTTTTCTGAGCTGGGAGGAAGGAAATCTTTCTTAGCGCTGGAGAAGGAAGAAAGTAGATCCTCCTCAGCGCTGGAGAAGGGATAAAGTAAGCCTTTCTCTGAGCTGGGAGGAAGGAAGGAAATCTTTCTTAGCGCTGGAGAAAGAAGAAAGTAGATCCTCCTCAGAGCTGGAGAAGGGATAAAGTAAGCCTTTCTCTGAGCTGGGAGGAAGGAAATCTTTCTTAGAGGTGGAGAAGGAAGAAAGTAGATCCTCCTCAGAGCTGGAGAAGGGATAAAGTAAGCTTTATCTGAGCTGGGAGGGAGGAAGGAAGTCTTTCTTAGAGCTGGAGAAGGAAAAAATAGATCCTCTTCAGAGCTGGAGAAGGGATAAAAGAGGTCTTTCTCAGAGCTGGAAAAGGGAGGAAGGAGAGACGTCTTTCTCAGAACTGTAGATGGAAAGAAGTAGGCCATTTTCAAAGCTGGAGAAGGGAAGAGATATGCTTTCATCAGAACTGGAGAAGGGTGGAAGGAAGGAAAGAAAGAAGGAGGCCTTTATCAGAACTGAAGAAGGGATAAAACAGGACTTTCTCAGAGCTGGAAAAGGGAGGAAGTAAGGCTTCATCAGAGCTGGAGAAGGGAGGAAGTGGTTCTTTCTCAGAGCTGGAAAAAGGAGGAAATATGTTTTGTCAGAACTGGAGAAGGAAGGAAAGAAGTAGGCCCTTTTTAGAACTGTAGAACAGAGAAAGCAGGCCTTCCTAAAGCTGGAAAAGGGAGGAAGTCGTCCTTTCCCAGAGCTGGAGAAGGAAGGAAGTAGTCAGTTGGCGGTCCCAATGGTATCTAGGCAACACAAAATATACGTACATATATACTACATTAGTCTTGCATTAAGGTGACCTTTGAGGAGAAAGGAGGACAGGAATGAGCCATCTCAGAAGGAGAAGTTGCCTCTCGGGCCTTGTCTCTCCAAAACACCCGAAACAGAGGAAAAGGAAGATTTGGGGCAGAGGATTAATGGAGACCTTGGCGTCCGAGGCATTTCATTACGCATCTCATTGCAAAGCTGACATTTACCAAGTCGCTCTGATTTCCTTTTCTCATATATATAATCTCAAAACTGCTTTGTGGGTGGGAATGAGAGATAGACCTGAACAACTGAGTGATTCATTTAAATATACTGTATACACACACACACACACACACACACATATATAAAAGTCAGGATCTTGCAAAGTGAAAACAACTGAAGGAAGAGAACCCTAAGTCCTAATGGGGACTCCCTAAGTCTAGTAATTGAATCTCCTTTGGGACAGAAAATAAATAAACACAAACAATAAACATAATAATCATGGTGATGATGATGATGATGATGATAATGGGATATAGATACATATTATAATTATATTTTTCTCTACCATTGGAAAATACCCCAAAGGAAGACACCATTTGATCCCTCCCGACAGATGGCCATTCATGATTACCAGGATGCATGGGAAGGTTGATGGCAACACCGGATATGGCAAGACCTGACCCAGGGAAAAGGTATTTTGAGGGAGACTTGGAGATCTCTCTTTCATGAATACCTATCTATCATCTCTCTATCATATCTATGGCTGGATGGCCATCTGTTGGGAGGGCTTGGATGTCGTCTTCCCTCATCACAGCATGGGGCAGGACTAGATGACCTTTAGGGATCCTTTTCAACTCTAGGACTGCATGAGATACACACACACACATTATCTGGGGCCAGATGGCCATCTGTTAGGAGGGCTTTATGGTATCTCCTTTTATCGCAGCATGGGGTTGGACTAGATGACCGGTAGGGATCCCTTCTAACTGTAGGAATGCACAATATATCTGTCACACACACACACACACACAATATCTAGGGCCAGCTGTCTTTGGCTGGACAATCATCTGTCAAGAGGGTTTGGATGATGTCTTCTCTTATGGCAGAAGGAGGTTGGACTGGATGACCTTTAAGGATCCCTTCCAACTCAAGGATTCTATTGTATGCCTATCATAAATAACCCTCTCAATCATATCTAGGGCCATGTATCTATGGCTGGATGGCCATCTGTCGGGAGGGCTTTGATGGTGTCTTTCTTTATCGCAGCATGGGATTGGACTAGATGACCTTTAGGGAGCCCTTCCAACTCTAGGATTGCATCATATATCTTATATAGATAGATAGATATTATCTAGGGCCAGACAGCCATGTATTTGGTGGGCTTATATGGTGTTTTCCTTTATCACAGCATGGGGTTGGACTAGATGACCTTTAGGGATCCTTTCCAACACTAGGATTGCATGATATATCTACCTCATATATGTGTATGCATGTGTGTGTGTATGTATACACACACACACCTCCCTATAATCTAGGGCCATCTATCTTTGGCTTGATGGCCATCTGCCAGGAGGGCTTTGATGGTGTCTTTCTTTATCGCAGCATGGGGTTGGACTAGATGACCTTTTGGGATCCCTTCCAACTCTAGGATTGCATCATATATCTTATATAGATAGATCGATATTATCTAGTGCCAAACGGCCATGTGTTTGGTGGGCTTGTATGGTGTCTTCCTTTATCACAGCATGGGGTTGGACTAGATGACCTTTGGGGAGCCCTTCCAACTCTAGGATTGCATGATAGATCTTAGATAGATAGATATTATCTAGGGTCAGACGGCCATGTATTTGGTGGGCTTATATGGTGTCTTTATCACAGCATGGAGTTGGACTAGATGACCTTTTGGGAGCCCTTCCAACTCTAGGATTGCATGATAGATCTTAGATAGATAGATAGATATTATCTAGGGTCAGACGGCCATGTGTTTGTTGGGATTATATGGTGTTTTACTTTATCACAGCATGAGGTTGGACTAGATGACCTTTGGGGATCCTTTCCAACTCTAGGATTGCATGATATATCAACCTCATGTATGTGTATGCATGTGTGTGTGAATGTATACACACGCACACTCCTATAATCTAGGGCCATCTATCTTTGGCTTGATGGCCATCTGCCGGGAGGGCTTGGATGGTGTCCATCACAAAAATGGGTTGACTAGATAACCTTTAGGGATCCCTCCCAACTCCCATCGCTCTGCAACAGGCATGGGACACACAGATAAGCGCCTTCATTAGGCCTGCAAAATATCTTGACGCCGGCGCTTTTATGTTTGATGCGTCGGCTGGCGCATGGAGTCGTTGGCCTCACCTTGAGAAGCCCATCAAAGGAAGGGAGCGACCAAGGCTGCAAAGGAGGCTGCATCAAAATGCAAATGTCCCTGGGCTGCTGGGAGCAGATAGGGAGGCGCAGCCAACGAGGCAGGAGGAAGCCCTCTCTCATGGTTTCCTCTTTTCCAAAATTGCATATTCTGCCTCTTTAAGTCCGGCCTTGAAGGGGACCCCTAAAGGTCATCTACTCCAACCCACTTGTCCATAAGAGGAGACACCATGGCCAAAGGGGTGGCCATCCGGCCTCTCGGCGGATGGCCACCCAGCCAAAGACACATTGGAAATATGACTAAGAGAGTATATGATTTAGACAGACTCCTAGAGTTCGATCCCTTAGGGATCCCTAAAGGCCATCCAGACTAACCCCATTTCCATACCAGAAACTCTCCGGACAGATGGCCATCCAGCCACAGATAGAGGGCCCTAGATTTATATATATATGAATAATATATCATGGAAGGGATCCATAAAGGCCATCCAGACTAACCCCATTTCCGCACGAGAAACCCTCCGAAGAGATGGCCATCCAGCCCTAGACATATATATGGAAGGGATCCCTAAAGTTCATCTAGTCCAGCCCCTTTCTGCACTAAAAGGAGAAACCATCAAACAATAAACATAATAATCAAAGCCCGCCCGACAGGTGGCCATCTAACCAAAGATTGATGGCCCTGGATATGAGATTGAAAAAAAAAACCCAATATATACAATATCCTAGAGGGTTTATATAGCATCCCCAATATAGTATCCTTAAGAAGGGACCCTATTTAGACTCATAGAATCCCCAACGTAGAATCCCAAGAGAAAGGACCCCATATAGGGCTGTGGGATCCTATATAAGACCATAGGATCCCCAATATAGGTCCATAGAACCTATAGAATCCACAATATAGTACCCTTGAGAAGGGATCCTCTATAGGACCATAGGATCCCCAGTATAGTGTCCTAAAGAAAGGAACCTAAATAGAATCTACCATATTGTACCCTAGAAAAAGGGATCCTATTTAGACACCCTATAGGTCCATAGAACCTATAGAATCCCCAATACAGTATCCTAGAGAAGGCACCCTATTTATAGAATCCCCTATGTAGTGTCTTAGAGAAGAGGCCCCATAAAGGACCATAGGACCCCCAAAATAATATCCTACAATCCATCCTATATATATATGGAATCTCCAATATAGTATCCTTGGGAAGGTACGCTATATATATAGAACCCCCAATATAGTATCCTTGGGAAGGGACCATATATATATAGAATCCCCAATATAATATCCTTGGAAAGGGCCCCTATATATATATAGAATCCCCAGTATAGTATCCTTGGGAAGGGACCCTATATATAGAGAACCCCCAATATAGTATCCTTGGGAAGGGACCCTATATATATATAAAATCCCCAATATAGTATCTTTGGTAAGGGACCCTATATATATAGAACTCCAATATCGTATCCTTTGGAAGTGACGCTATATATATAGAACCCCCAATATAGTATCCTTCGGAAGGGCCCCTATATATATAGAACCCCCAATATAGTATCCTTCGGAAGGGACTCTATAGAATCTCCAATATAGTATCCTTGGGAAGGGATGCTATATATATAGAATCCCCAATATAGTATCCTTGGGAAGGGCCCCTATATATATAGAACCCCCAATATAGTATCCTTGAGAAGGGACCCTATATATAGAGAATCCCCAATATCGTATCCTTGGGAAGGGACGCTATATAGGACCATAACAATATCCTACAATTCCTGAGAAGGGACTCTATATATATAGAATCCCCATTCCAGCATTCTATAGAAGGGACCCTATTTAGATTCGTAGAATCCCCCATGTAGCCTCTTGTGAGAAGGGACCCCATACGGGACTGCAGAATGGCCACTACAAACCCTTTGCAAAGGCCTGGGATGCCCGCTTGCCCGCCCTACAAAAAGCCCTTCCCATTTTCGACATTGTTAAGCCTTTGATCCCTCGAACAGATTGATCGGATTAGGCCCTTTCCCCGTTAAGCTCTCCATCCCCGCCGCTTTTTGGGTTTGATCACAGGTTGGGATTTCGGGGAGGAGGAGGGATTCCTATAGTGCCCAAAGTGGGGGAAAGGGGTCCCCTAGAGGCCATCTAACCTGACCTCGCGTTGGTTTGCAACTATTAATGGGATGACGTTGGTTCTTTATAGGCTTTCCTCTTCATCGGATTCCCGGTCTTTGTGGCAGGCGTTAATCCGGATTCGCTTCCGCCATGCATTGGAGCCGAAATATCCCGTTAAAGCCTTCTTTTGCCAGCTGTATCTCTACTTAAAATGGGAGTTTCAGGGGAAATCTCTCCGCATCAGAACAAAATCCCCTTGCATTTTGTCTCCAAAAGAGAAGGCTGGATATATATAATAATTATTATTATTATTTTGACACGGCAGTGGATGAGGTGAAGTGGCCCTCCTCTGTGACGTCGCCGGGAAAGGAATGGAAGGGATAAGGAGAAAGAAAGGAAAAGAAGGGAGCGGAAGGAAAAGGTGTGAGAGGAAAGAAGGAAGGAAAAAGAGAGGGGGAGGGGATGGATGGAAGGAAGGAAAGAAAGAAAGAGAAGGGAAAGGAAAGGAAAGGAAGGAAGGAGGAAGAAAAAGGAGGGAAAGAAAGAGAAGGGAGAAAGAAGGAAGGAGGAGGGAAGAAAAAGGAGGGAGGGAGGCTGCCTTCTGGATTAGTTGCCTTCTGGGATACCGAAAGAAGGAAGGAARGAAAGGAGGGAGGGAGGGTGGATGGTCAGTTGCCTTCTGGGYTGCCCTAAGAAGGAGGGAACAATGGAAGGAAGGAATACTGGTTGCCTTCTGGGATGATCAGGAAAGGAGGGAAGGAAAAAGAAGAGGATGGACGGAGAGAAGGAAGGAAGGAGGGAGAGAAAGAAGGAAGATTGGTTGCCTGGGATGACCAAGGAAGGAGGGGAGGAAGGAAGGAAGGGAGACTAAGAGAAGGACAGATGGAGACAAGGAAGGAAGATTGATTGTCTTCTGGGATGCGCAAGACCAAGGAAGGAAGGAAGAAGAGAAGAGAGGAGAAGGAAAGGAAGGGAGGAAGAAAGGGAGGGAGGGAGGGAGGGAGGAAGGAAGATTGGATGCCTTCTGGGATGACCAAGGAAGGAAGGAGGAGGACAGGAAGGACTGAGAGAAGGAAGGAAGGAAGGAAGATTGGTTGCCTTCTCAGATGCCTAAGAAAGGAAGGAAGGGAAAAAAAGAGGACAGATTGAGAGAAGGAAGGAAGGAAGAAGGGAGAGAAGGAAGACTGGATGCCTTCTGGGATGACCAAGGAAGGAGGAGGAAAGGAAGGATGGAGAGAAGGAAGGAAGATTTGTTGCCTTCGCGAATGCCCAAGAAAGGAAGAAAAAAAGGACATGTGGAGAGAAGAAAGGAAGACTGGATGCTTCTGGGATGACCAAGGAAGAAAGGAGGAGGAAAGGAAGGACACAGTGAAGGAAGGAAGGAAGATTGATTGCCTTCTCGGATGCCCATGAAAAGAAGGAAGAAAAAGAGGACGGATGGAGAGAAGGGAGGAAGGAAGGTTGGTTGCCTGGGATGACCAAGGAAGGAAGGTAGGAAGGAAGGGAGAAGAACAAAGTGAAGAAAGCAAAGAAGGTTGCCTTCTGGAGGGAGGGAGGGAGGGAGGGAGGGAGGGAGGGAGGAAGGAAGGGAGGAAGGGAGGAAGGAAGGAAGGAAGGAAGGAAGGAAGATTGGTTGCCTTCTGGGATGCCCAAGGAAGGAAGGAAGGAAGGAAGGAGAGAAGAAAGGAAGGAGGGAGAGAAATGATGAAGGAAGAGAGGAGAAGGACAGACGGACAGAGGGAAGGAAGGTTATCTTCTGGATTGACGAAAGTGGGAAGGAAGTTAGGTAGGTTATTTTCCCTCTGAAATAGAGCCGAAAGCAGTGAGTATCCGACATCACCAATATTGTTCCTTGTAGCATAGTGCCACTAACCTTGGCTTCACGGATTTTGGTAGCTGGGTGGGTGAATATGTAAGAATCCCCATGGATCGAAAAGCCCAGTTTGGAGAGCCATGACTGGGACACCAGTGGTGTGGGAGACCCTCTAAGGACTGAAAAGACCCATTTCACCAGAGAGAGAGACAAATACTCGAGTCAACAACGAACAAATAAGGGAGCCGTTGACCAGGTTGAGTTGAGTAATTTTCTTTTAATATAAAAAAGGTGAAATCCAATCCCTTTGAACACTCTTACTCCCTCCTCCCATCTGCCCAAATCCATGAGGGGGCGGAGCTACACTCCCGCATCCCATGATGTCACAGCAGGTCGGCCAGTGAAAAAGGAGGGGATGGCTTCACAGTGCAGAAACGGACGGCCGAGCGCAAAGCCAACTTTCCGGAGCCTTGAGTGAAAACACCGGTCCGAGACCTCAATAGAGACCCCAACGAGACCACTGTCCCACCAAAATAGGCCTCTAGTATCTCCCCTCACCCAACTTTTGCTGTTCGAGGAAGCCAAGTTGCATGTCAACAACCCCAATCAAGAAGAATCGGGACCGGGACATTCAGTAAGGCAGCATAGGCACTAGAATTGGGAACGGAGAGCAAAGCAAAGGGCCATAACGTCCCTCCATTGCTGCTTCCCATGAACTAATAGTGCCTGATTGGAATCCGTGATCCTGTGTAAGTCCTCCATTGAGTCCTCTCCCGGCGGCTTCTTCCATGCATGCCAATCCGGGATCGGGTTGCATCCCTGAACGGTATATCCGTTTATCCCACATTTATTTATTGTGCAAGAAAGAAAGATTTTTTTGTATTTTGTAAATAAAATTAAAAAAAAGACCCAATGTGGAAACCCAAGTTTTGCCTTTTGGGAGACGGGCGGCAAAAAAGGCAAGCGGTGGATTCTGGGAAGGCAAAAAGTAACAACGTTCCCTCTCCGACGCTGAAATGTATTCCAACTCGGTATGGATCTCTTGCTCATCGATGGCGTTGCCCCCGATACGCTTTTCACGGGGCCCAATTTGGACCTCGCCATGATCAGATCTAGTGTGATTGTTACTCCCAACGGAGTGTCCCATTCTACCCTTTCTTTGCAAATGTCAAAGTCCCCAAATGGGCCCAAGAGTTGGGCATCATACCCGGCTCAGTATCCAGATCAGATCTAGATTGGAGTTGGACCCCTTTCGCCGCATATGCCAAGATCTCAAGAAGAAGGCTGAAGGGCATTACAATGTATCCGTATCCAAACTGGATTGAAGAGACCTCCCCTTTCCCGACAAAAAATTGGGGTCTCCCAGCCAGAAGTTGGCTGAAGGGCATCACAACCACGTTCAGAAGGCCGAAGAGCATCACAACATCTCCAAATCAAACCTAGACTGGAAGGATCCCCTTTCCCTGCAAAAAATTCAGGGTCTCCAACTGGGACCGAAAGGAGGCCCAAGGACATTTCGACATATCCACATCAAACCTGGATTACACGGGAAACCCCTTTCCTGGCAAAAAAAAAAAAAGTTGGGGTCTCCAACCAGGCCCAGAATAAGGCCGAAGGGCATTGCAGCCACGCTGAGAAGACCAAAGGGCAGCACAACGTAGTCGTATTGACCCCAGAAGGAACGGCCCAGCAAGTTGGGCTCCTTCCCATTTTTTATGCCATCTCCTTGATCCTGTGGATGTAGTTGTGGAGCTCCTCGGGGTCCTGGAGGCCCACGTCCTGGCAGACCCATTCCAGATCCTCCTCGTCGGCCACGGGGACCGAGTCATAACCCATCTCCTCGGAGGGCATGGTGGCGAAGGTGGTGAACTTGACCCGCTTGCGCTTGGAGGTAGGCGAGTGGAGGGGGTCCTCGCTCTGGTCTCGGGTTGAGCCCCCCGAGGAGCCATCCCCACGGCCATGGACCTGGCTCTGGACGCTGGTCTGCGAGGAGCCTCCGCTGCTGTGGTGATCACCATGGCAGCAGCTTGGGACGCCCTCCAGTGGGTCAGCCGGCGGGGTGGCCAGCTCAGCCTGGGCCCGTAGAGGCTGCCCGTTGCCCAGGAAGACCCAGTGGTGCGAGTGGTCCATGTTGGTCTGGCCTTCTGGTGGGATGCGCTTGTGCCGATACTTGAGCACAAAGACAATGCAGTTGATAAGGAAGACCAAGATGGCAAGGCAGAAGACCCCGAGGAGGGCGTACATGCCAATCTCCAGGTCTGTCAGGCCACGGGGGACTTGGACATAGCCAGTGGGCAGGGTGGGGAAGTCCTTCGTTGGGAGCACCGCACTGGGCAAGCGGGTCTCCGGACTGGGTGGCACCAAGCGCCAGGAAACGTCCAAGCGGGTCGTAGTGTGGCTGTCACTTCCACCGGGAGTCCCTCTCTCCTTCGGGGTCTGTACTGGCTCATAGTCATAAGTGGGCTCCTCCTCAGAGGGGAAGTGGACCTGAACGCCCACCATGGTGGTGGCCAAGGTGCTCTTGCGCTTGGTCTTCTGGCAGGCCTCACAGATGGTCAGCTCAGCCTTCACCAACGCCCCAGAGCCCTCGCCCTCAGCCCGGAGTAGCGGGAAGGCCCCACCAGTTACCACCGAGACCACCGAGGGGTCCTGGCTGCTCAGTGCCAGCGTGTAGTCCCGTGAGTCATACAAGGAGAGTGGTGCCGTGGTGCCATCGCTGTAGGACACCCAAAGACTCAGCAAGGCCTCCTGGAAGAGAGAGTGAGAAGGGGATTATACTTCATATGTTTCATTTGGGATTATGCCTCATACATTTCATACACACACACGCATGTAGATTCATGTTGCTAGACCTGCTTTGGGAGGCTGAGGGCCTGCTGGGCGCTGGCTTTAGCCACAATGGTGTGGCTGCTGCCCGGACTGGGCTGCAGGGAGAGGGAGAGGTTGGAGACCAGCTGGGCCTTCAGCGCCGTCAGGGAGACCTTCTCCTCCGCCACCGTCACCGCCGCCTCCCCCAGCACTGCATCCGTCAGCGGGGAGACCACCTAAGGAAGCAAGTAAACAAGGAAAGAGTTCAAACACCCAGGAAAGATACCTTCCTTGACTTCAAGAGCCATTTTGGGGGCTTTGTAACAGAGGTATGACTGGCCATCTGCCAGGAGAGCTTCAGTGGTGCCTCCCTGCAAAGCCTTATCCACTTTGCAACTACTTTTGGGAGAGAAGAAGCAGGATCTAAATATTTAGATCCTGCTTCTTCTCTCCCAAAAGTAGTTGCAAAGTGGATAAGGCTTTGCAGGGAGGCACCACTGAAGCTCTCCTGGCAGATGGCCAGTGGTTAGTACTACTAATACTAACCATAACACTATACAATAATAAATGATCCCTGGGGTCCTTTCCAATAATAGTAATAATAATACTGAAACCAATACTATACTAATGATAAATGACCTCTGGAGTCCCTTCCAATAACAATAGTGATGATGATGATGATGATGATGATGATGATGGAACCAATGCTATACTAATGATAAATGACCGCGGGAGTCCCTTCCAATAATAACAATAATAATAATAATAATACTACCCTGGGGTCCCTTTCAATAATGATGATAATGATGATAATAATAATAATAATAATAATAATAATAATAATAATAATAATGCTGAAACCAATACTATACTAATGATTAATGATCCCTGGGGTCCCTTTCAATAATGATAATAATATAATAATAATGAAACCAATAATATACTAATGACAAATTACCTCTGCAGTCCTTTCCATTAATAATAATAGTAATAATAATAATGATAATAATACCAATGCTGTACTAATAATAAATGACCTCTGGAGCCCTTTCCAATTATTATTATTATTATTATTATTATTATTATTATTATTCTAATAATAAATGACCCCTGGGGTCCCTTTCAATAATAATAACAATAATAATAATACCACCAATACTATACTAATAATGAATGACCCCTGGGGTCCCTTTCAATAATAATAATGAGGCAGCATGAAGGACTCTTTTCCAAAAGTTAGGAAACTTTCTTTTCATCTATCTATCTATCTATCTATTAACTGTAGGGGGACAGAGAGTTTCATCTATGCTGACGATCTTGCCATCGCCACTCAAGCAGAGAGCTTTGAAATGGTTGAACAGAAACTCTCTGAAGCTTTAGGTGCTATTACGGGGAAACCAATAATAATCCTAAAAACTTGACTCGGTTGGCACCAATAACACCTTGGAGGGATGTCCTCCAACAGAGCTGGGGTGGGCATCTGTAGGGAATGTTTTTATTACATCTTATGACTAATGATGAGGGCCTCCTGACCTTGAAGAGAGTGGTGCCGGGCTCCCGTCCGGCCAGGGTCCGGGCGTCCACCAGGCGGGCCACCTGGGGGTCGTCCACCCGCATGAAGTCCCCCACCAGGTCAGTGACCTCCACCAGCCACTCAGGGCCCAGCATGGTGACCACCTGGTCGCTGCCTTCAGAGGACGTGGTGTGGAACTGGGTGAAGACGCGCAAGGAGGTGCGCTGGAACTGGAGGGCACAACCCCGGCTCTGGCGCCGCTCCTCCTCCTCCTCTTCGTCATCCTCGCTCTCTCGGACCGACCTGCGGAGGTGACGGGAGAAATGCGAACTCTAATAATATGCGTTCAGTGTGATTGAGAAGGGAGCATCACCAGGCCTCTCTCTAACACAGAGACATGAACATCAACATGAGGGACTCTTCTCAAAGTTGGGTCATCTTCCTTTCGTCTATTTATTCTTTTAATTAGAAGTCACTTCCTAATTCTTCCCAAAGGGAAGAGAAGAGAATGGAAAAGAAAGATAGAAGGGGAAGCTATGTGGAAGAAAGAAAAAGAAGGGGAAGGTGTACGAGGGAAACAGGAAGGAAAGGAAAGAAAGAAAAGGAAGGAGGGTTCTGTATAAGAGAAAGTATGAGAAGGAGGAAGGAAGAAAAGAAAGAAGGGGAGGGAAGGTGTATAAGGGAAAGAAAGGGAAGAGAAATGAAAAGGAAAAAGAAAGAGAAGCTATGTGAGTGAAAGAAGAGAGGAAGGAAGAAAAAGAAGGGAGAAGATGGACGAGGGAAAGAAAGGGAAGAGAAGTGAAAGGAAAAGAGAAAGAAGGGGAAGCTATGTGAGAGAAAGAGAAGAAGAAAAGAAAGAAAGCTATGTGAGAGAAATCAATGGGGAAGGAAAAAAGAAAAGAAAGAAGGGGGAAGGTGTAAGAGGGAAAGGAAGGGAAGAGAAAAGAAAAGAAAAAAGAAAGAAGGGGAATCTATGTGGGAGAAAGAGAAGAGGAAAGAAAGAAGGGAATGTGTAGGAGGGAAACAGGAAGGAAGAAAAGGGGAAAGAAAGAAAGGAAGAAAAGAAAGAAAGAGGAGGAGAGGTTTATATGGGAAAGGGAAGAGAAGAGAAATGAAAAGAATGAAAGAAAGAAGGGGAAGTTATGTGAGGGAAAGAAGGGAAGAAGGAAGAAAAAGAAGGGAGAAGATGTATGAGGGAAAGAAAGGGAAGAGAAGAGAAAGGAAAAGAGAAAGGGGAAGCTATGTGAGAGAAAAAGAAAAGAAGAAAAGAAAAAAATCTATGTGAGAGAAATCAACGGGGAAGGAAGAAAGAAAAGAAAGAAGGGGAAGGTGTACTAGGGAAAGGAAGGGAAGAGAAGAGAAAAGAAAAGAAAGAAAAAGAAGAAAGAAGGAAGATATATGAGGGAAACAGAAAGGAAGGAAGAAAAGAAAGAGGAGGAGAGGTGTGAAAGGGAAGGGAAGAGAAATGAATGAATGAAAGAAAGAAGGGGAAGCTATGTGAGGGAAAGAAGAGAGGAAAGAAGAAAAAGAAGGGAGAAGGTGTACGAGGGAAAGAAAGGGAAGGGAAGAGAAGAGAAGGGAAAAGAAGGGGACGCTATGTTAGAGAAAGAAGAGAGGAAGGAAGAAAAAGGGAGAAGGTGTACGAGGGAAAGAAAGGGAAGAGAAGAGAAAGAAGGCGAAGCTATGTGAGAGAAAGAAGAGAGGAATGAAGAAATAGAAGGAAGACGGTGTACGAGGGGGGGAAGGGAAGAGAAGAGAAAGGAAAAGAGAAAGAAGGGGAAGCTATGTGAGAGAAAGAAGAGAGGAAGGAAGAAAAAGAAGGGAGAAGGTGTACGAGGGGGGAAAAGGGAAGAGAAGAGAAAGGAAAAGAGAAAAAAGGGGGAACTGAGAAAAAGAAGCGAGGAAGGAAGAAAAAGAAGGGAGAATGTGTACGAGGGAAAGAAAGGGAAGAGAAGGGGAAAAAGAAAGAAGGGGAAGCTATGTGAGAGAAAGAGAAGAGAGGAAGGAAAGAAAGAAAGCTATGTGAGAGAAATAGAAGGGGAAAGGAAGAAAGAAAAAGAAGGGGAAGGTGTAGAAGGGAAAGGAAGGGAAGAGAAAAGAAAGAAAGAAGGGGAAGCTATATGAGAGAAAAAGAAAAGAAAAAAGGGGAAGATGTACGAGGGAAAGGAAGGGAAGAGAAGAGAAAGAAAGGGAAGTTATGTGAGAGAAAGAGAAGTAGGAAGAAAAGAAAGGAAGGTGTATGAGGGAAAGGAAGGGAAGTGAAAGAAAAGAGAAAGAAGGGGAAGCTATGTGAGAGAAAGAGAAGAGAGAAAGAAGAAAAAGAAAGAGGGGAAGAAAAAAAGGAGAAGCTGTATAAGGGGAAGTAAGAGAAGGAGGGAGGAAGAGTGGGAGAGAAGGAAGAAACAAACAGGAGGGAGGAAGGAAAGAGAGCCTGCCATGTAGACACTGAGCTGGAGAAGGGAGACAGGCGACTTACCTGCGGTCGGCCATGATGGGGATCCTCCAGCCTTTGACTTGGCTGAGATGGGGGTCAGAGAGCTCGATGCGGAGCGGGATGCGGGGCACCCAGACGGTCACCTCCAGGACGGCACTGAGGTGCTCGTAGCCGAAGGAGACCCCCGCGTTCATGGAGCCCCCCGTCTCCTTCCCGCTCACAAAGACGTAGTCGCAGCCGTTGGAGACCTGCAGCGAGAGAAGGACAACAGGGTGGAGAAGTCAGTATGATGAAGTCCGGATTGAAAGAAATTGAACGATTGGGGGTCTGGCTAAGGAAGGTCTTATGAAGTCCTGGCAAGATGTTTTGATGTTTGACCATACTTGTGGGAGGCTTCTCTCATATCCCCACATGGGGAGCTGGAGCTGACAGAGGGAGCTCATCCGGGCTGTCCCCGGATTCAAACCCCCGACCTGTCGGTCATCAGTTCAGCCAGCACAAGGGTTTAATCCACTGCGCCAACTGGGGCTTCTAATAATAATAATAATAATAATAATAATAATAATAATAATAATAATATAAGAAAAAAATTAATAAGATAATGATAATATAAGAAAATGATAATATAAGATGAATGACAGCAACAATATTAGAAAAATAATAAAATAATCATAAGAAAAATGGTAATGATAATTAAAAATAATAATATAGGGAAAATAGTAACAATAATATAATAATATAGAAAAATAATAATATATTGTCGAAGGCTTTATTGGCCAGAATCACTGGGTTGTTGTAGGTTTTTCCAGGCTATATGGCCATGTTCTAGAGGCATTCTCTCCTGACGTTTCGCCTGCATCTGTGGCAAGCATCCTCATACCTCACTACCTCTGAGGATGCTTGCCATAGATGCAGGCGAAACGTCAGGAGAGAATGCTCTAGAACATGGCCGTATAGCCCGAAAAAACCTACAGCTACCAAAATAATAATATGATACTAATAAGAATAATATGATAACAGAGGCCAAGCTTAGCACAGAAAATCCTGCTGATCAAAAGGTTGGCAGGTCGAGGTGAGCACCTGCTGTCAGCCTCAGCTCCCTGCCTATCTAGCAGATTGAAAACAGAAATGTGAGTAGATAAATAGGTACTGCTTTAAGCGGGGAGGTAATAAAAGGTGCCCAGCAACTTGAAATCAGGAGGACATCTAAGGGCGACAAAGCTGCTTGGCATGGAAGAGGGAGTGACAGCACCCCCTTATGGACAGAGTCGAGCACAGCCTCTAGATGTCGGAAATGGAAAAGATGGGGAAAGGCTTTACCTTTGTTTATTATATGTCCTTGTTAATTGTATAACAGCATTGAATTTTTGCTGTATATGTGTTCTGTAATCCTCCCTCAGTCCCCTCAGGGAGATAGAGCAGAATACAAATAAAGTATATAAATTACTATTATATTATTATTTTGCCTGTGTTACCAATATATAGCTATTCTAAAAACCCAGTACTTGGAGTCTGTGTATTTCTTTCTCTGAAAGTGCCCCAGATCCTCTGTCCCACTGAAAACAGATTGAAGAACATTTCAAGGTTCAAAGAAGTATCCATGACACAGGTGGCTTCCCAGGCTTCCTTTTCCGAGCTAGGAACCCGATTGAAGACTCTCGAGCACAATAGGAGCTTTCATGCCGGACCCCCCAAAGTGCCGGACTCTCGTTTCAATGCCGAGGGAGTTGCCCAAAGCGAAGGCTTTGGTCTTAAAGCCATGGAGCTCTCACAGGTACTGATGTCATCATTTGGGTGTATGGGGAGACCTCTCCAAGATACTGGATTCACCAATTAGTTGCATGGTGAGAGCTCTCCAAGGTGCTGAATTCACTATTTGGGGTGTATTGGGAGAGCTCTCCAGGGTGCTGAATCCACCAACTGATTGCATGGGGAGACCTTTCCAAGGTGCTTAATCCACTATTTGGTTGAGTGGGTTGAGCTCTCCAAGGTGCTGAATCCACCAACTATTTGTATTGGGAGTTCCGGATTTGCTATTTGGTTGTATGGGGCCAGCTCTTCAAGGTGCTGAATTCACCAACTGGTTACACGGGGGAGAGCTCTACAAGATGCTGAAGTCACCATTTGGTTGTATTGGGAGAGGTGGAGCTGCCATTTGGTTGTATGGGTAGAGCTCTCCAAGGTGCTGAATCCACCAACTGATTGCATGGGGAGACCTTTCTGAGATGCTGAATCCACCAACTGGTTGTATTGGGAGTGCTGGATTTGCCATTTGGTTGTATGGGGTGAGCTCTCCAAGGTGCTGAATCCACCAACTGGTTGCACAGGGGAGAGCTCTACAAGATGCTGAAGCTTTTTGTTGTTTTTTGTCGTGTCAGGAGCAACTTGAGAAACTGCAAGTCACTTCTGGTGTGAGAGAATTGGCCGTCTGCAAGGATGTTGTCCAGGGAACGCCCAGATGATTTGATGTTTTTATCATCCTTTTCTCATGTCCCCGCATGAGGAGCTGGAGCTGATAGAGGGAGCTCATCCGCCTCTCCCCGGATTCGAACCTGCAACCTGTTGGTCTTCAGTCCTGCCGGCATAGGGGTTTAACCCACTGCGCCATCGGGGGCTCCATATCCACCAACTCTCCGAGATGCTGAATCCACCAACTGGTTGTATTGGGAGTGCTGGATTTGTCATTTGGTTGCATGGGGCAAGCTCTCCAAGGTGCTGAATCCACCAACTGGTTGCATGGGGAGAACTCTACGAGATGTCGAAGTCCCCATTTGGTTGTGTTGGGAGAGGTGGACTTGCCATTTGGTTGTATGGGGAGACCTCTCCGAGATGCTGAATCCACCAACTGGTTGCATTGGGAGTGCTGGATTTGCCATTTGGTTGTATGGGGGAGCTATCCAAGGTGCTGAACCCACCAACTGATTGCATGGGGAGACCTCTCTGAGATGCTAAATCCACCAACTTGTATTGGAGTGCTGGATTTGCCATTTGGTTGTATGGGGTATGCTCTCAAAGGTGCTGAATCCACCAACTGGGTGTATGGGGAGAGCTATGTGGGGTGCTGATGTCACCATTTGGTTGTATGGTGGAGCTCTCCAGGGTGCTGAATCAGCTGGTTGCATGGGGAAGAGCCCAAGGTGCTGAATCTGCCAACTGGTTGCATGGGGAGGGAGCTCAAGGTGCTGAATTTGCCGTTTGGTTGTATGGAAGAGCTCTCCAATGTACTGGATCCACCAACTGGTTGCCTGGGGAGAGCTCTACGAGATGCTGATTTTGCCATTCGGTTGTATGTGGAGAGCTCTCCAAGGTGCTGAATCCACCAAATGATAGCAAGACGAATACTGCACCGGCCCCTTTTCTGCCTGCTTGCCATTAACTCCGTCTCCCGTGAATTATATGCCGACGGCAGCAATAGCGGTAGGCGGTGACGGCACTCACCTGGACGGCGGTGGCGGCGCTGTCAGGCCCGCCTCAAAAGCCCATCCATCAGGCCGCCGCTCGCTATCTGTTCCTGTAAATAATTCAGCGCCGGTGTCGGCAGGCTGTCTCACGACGCAGGCGACGACCGCAAGGCATCAAACAACACAAGCCGCTCCATCCGTCTCTCGTTCGAAGGACCGCCAGCAAGGAGGAGAAGCAAACGGACTGGCTTTTGGGTGACCCAAAAGGGATCGCACAAAGAAGAGTCAGTCATCCGTCTTGCCATCCCAACAGAGAGCGAATCGGTTGTATGCCATCACCGGATGGCAAACATATAATTCCTTTAAAGTTCGGGCTTAAATCCAAAACGGATTGTGAACATGTAACTCCTTAAATATTCAAGCTTAAATCCAAAGTGTGCTGTTGATGCTTCCCTTAAAGTTCGGACTTAAATCTGAAGCAGACTGCGAACATATAAATCCATTAAAGTTTGGACTTAAATCCGAAACGAATTGTGAACATAGAACATCGTTAAAGTTTGAACTTAAATCCAAAGTGGATTGTGAAATATAACTATTTTAAAATTTGGAATGAAATCCATTCAGACTGTCAACACCTCCTTTAAAGTTTGGATTTAAATCCAAAGCGGATTATGAACATATAACTCCTTAAAAGTTCGGACTGAAATCCGAAGTGGGCTGTCTACACTCTCCTTAAAGTTTGGATTTAAATCAGAAGCAAGTTGTGAACAAATAATGTATTTAAAGTTCAGACTTAAATCCGAAGCAAACATATAAATCCATTAAACTTCGGACTTAAATCCGAAACAAATTGTAAACATAGAACATCATTAAAGTTTGGACTTAAATCCAAAGCGGATTGTGAACATATAACTCTTTTAAAATTTGGAATGAAATCCGTTCAGACGGTCAATGTTTCCTTTAAAGTTCAGACTTAAATCCGAAGCAGTTTGTGAACTATAACTCCTTTAAAATTTGGACTTAAATCCATTCAGACTGTCAACACTTCCTTTAAAGTTCAGACTTAAATCCAAAGCAGATTGTGAACATATAACTCTGTGAAACTTCGGACTTAAATCCGAAGCGGATTGTGAACATATAACTTCTTCAAAAGTCTTTAAAAGTTCGGACTTAAATCCGAAGTGGACTGCGAATATATAACTCCTTTAAAGTTTGGACTGAAATTCGTAGCGGATTTTCTGCCTCGCATTGCACAAAGACAGACCAAAATTCCCCCGTCCATTGGATTTCTAATTAACGTGAGTGGCTGATGGGGGAAGATGGCACAATTATTTCCCTTTTTTATCGATATTTCAATTTCTATTGCCCGAGCCTGTGATGGGAGCTTGCTAATTAAAACCAATTAAGTTATGAATTAAGTTGGAGGCTCGCTAACAAAGGGGGACAACTCCATTAAATTTAAACGGCGGATGGGAAAGACTCGAGACGAGGTTGGAGGCCTAAACGGCGCTTCGAGGATTGAGTTAATAACGATATTATTAATTAATGAAGCGGAGACGAGATTTACATTGCCCAGGTGGTCCTTCCTTTGCAAAGAAATAGCATTTAATAACACATTCCTACTGAAATGGACTTCAAACGACTAGATGCAGCTAAAAGAAATACTGCTAGGCAGAAGAGGAGGAGAATAACGGCTCACCTTGATGATGTCTTCGTTGCCGGATTTGCACCTGACCGACCCGGAAATGTCCAAAATGACCCCGGTGACCTCGATGGCAATGACCTTCACTGGGATGGCCACCGTCCGGCCGGTCAAGATGGCCGTGTTGATAATCTCGGTGTCCTTCGGAAGAGAACAGAGGCCGCGTTTAAAAAACCCTTACATCCTAACCATGTTATATCACATCAAAAAAGCAAGATGATGGTGGTGGTGCAGGAGCGGAAATGCAGCACAATATAGGTAAAGAGGCAGCACAGGAATATCTGGCAACTCCAAATGCATCATCATTATTGTTATTATTATTGGATATACCCTAAAGTCCATCAGGTTCACCCTATTCTTCTTCTTCTTCTTCTTCTTCTTCTTCTTCTTCAATATACCCAAGTCTCTCAGGCTCACATTATTATTATCATCATTATTATTATTTATTATTATTATTATATACCCAAAAGTCCATCAATTCACCTTATTATTATTATTAATATTATTATTATTGTATTGTCGAAGGCTTTCATGGCTGGGCCTATAGGGCCATGTTCTAGAGGCATTTCTCCTGACGTTTCACCTGCATCTATGGCAAGCATCCTCAGAGGTATTATTATTATTATTATTATTATTATTATTATCATCATCATCATCATCATCATCATCATGGGATATACCCTGAAGTCCATCAGTTTCACATTATTATTATTATTATTATTATTATTATTATTATTATTATTATTGGATATACCCTAAAGTCTACCAGTCTCAACCTATTATTATTATTATTATTATTATTATTATTATTATGGGATATACCTTGAAGGCCATCAGGTTCACCCTATTATTATTATTATTATTATTATTATTATTATTATTATTATTATTATTATGGGATATACCCATCAGGCTCACCCTATTATTATTATTATTATTATTATTGGATATACCCTGAAGTCCATCAGGTTCACCCTATTATTATTATTATTAGTAGTAGTAGTAGTAGTATTATGGGATATACCCTACAGTCCATCAGGCTCACCCTATTATTATTATTATTATTATTATTATTATTATTATTATTGGATATACCCTACAGTCCATCAGGCTCACCTTATTATTATTATTATTATTATTATTATTATTATTATTATTGGATATACCCTGAAGTCCATCAGGTTCACATTATTATTATTATTATTATTATTATTATTAGATGATGAGGATGATAATGATGATGATGTTGTTTTAAGGCCAGAAAGTAGGTAAAGGTAAAGGTTTTCCCCATGTCCAACTCTGGGGGTTGGTGCTCATCTCCATTTCTAAGCCAAAGAGCCAGCATTGTCCATAGACACCTCCAAGGTCATGTGGCCATAGGCATGACTGCATGGAGCACCCCTACCTTCCCGCTAGAGCGGTACCTATTCATCTACTCACAGCTGCATGTTTTTGAACTGCTAGGTTGGCAGAAGCTGGGGCTAACAGCAGGAGCTCACCCTGCTCCCCGGATTTGAACCAGTGACCTTTCTGTCAGCAAGATCAGCAGCTCAGCAGTTTAACCCAGTGCACCACCGGGGGCTCCAAGGCCGGATAGTACAGTAGGGGAAATGCAGCATGAAATTGGTAAAGAGGCAGCATAGTAATATTTGGCAATTCCAAATGGATTCAAAGTCTCTTGAGGCCAGAAAATGCAGCAGAGTATAGGTAAAGAGGCAGCACAGGAATATCTGGCTATTCCAAATCCCTTAAGGCTTCCTTTCAGGGCTAAAGACAGGGGCCAAATATTCAAGGGGCCCAGTGTCTCACCATAGCCAGGGGCAGGATGGCCCGGATGTCCTTCTGGAGGACGGTCAGCTCGGTCATGGCCTTCTCCAGGTTTGGCGGGGGGCTGCGTCCCCGGTAGTCCACGTGCCACATGATCCTCCGCGTCACCGACTGGCTGGTGAAGTTCTCCATCTCAAAGTCCAGCTGCATGACCTCGTAGGGCCCCTCTTCCTCCCTGCAAAAACATACGCATGTATAGAAATACATATTGAGAGTGATGGTCCTACTGCAGTTGAGGGTCCAACAGTTCAGCACTTGACCAAGAGGACTAAGTGGGGCAGACCTCAGAGAATCCCAGAGAAGGAAGGAGACCCCCAAAGAACATCTAGACCAACCCCTATACCCCTATACCATAAAGGGAGATTCCAAGGAAACATGGAGTCCTGGAGATGGAAGGGGACCTCAAAGGACATCTAGACCAACCCCTATCCTGCCATAAAGGGAGATATAATCATCGAATGGATACATGAAGGAAGGAAATATGGAGTCCTGGAGATGGAAGGAGACCCCAAAGGACTTCTAGACCAACCCCTATCCTAACATAAAGATATAATCATTGAATGGATTCCAAGGAAACATGAAATCCTGGAGATGGAAGGGGACCCCAAAGGCCATCTAGACCAACCCCTATCCTGCCATAAAGGGAGATATAATCATTGAATAGATTCCAAGGAAATGTGGAATCCTGGAGATGGAAGGGGACCCCAAAGGACATCTAGACTAACCCCTATCCTGCCGTAAAGGGAAATATAATCATCAAATGGATTCCAAGGAAATGTGGAATCCTGGACATGGAAGGGGACCCCAAAGGACATCTAGACCAACCCCTATCCTGCCATAAAGGGAAATATAATCACCGAATGGATCCATGAAGGAAGGAAACATGGAGTCCTGGAGATGAAAGGGAACCCCAAAGGACATCTAGTCCAACCCTATGTATGAATACAAACCTTCCAATACTATTCTTCTATTAATAGCAATGGTTAAGAGATTAGTCTGGGATTAAATTATGGAATTAGGAATGTGATTGTTGTGTCTTTATGGCACAATGGGGTCAGACTAGTTGGCCTTTGGGGGATCCCTTCCCACTCTATCCTTCTATGAATAGAAACAGTTAAGCCATTAGTTTGGGGCTGACTGTGTTTGTCACGCCTCCCTTTGCGGAAAATGGGGTCAGACGAGATCTCCTTTGGGGGTCCCCTTATAGGATTGGATACGGCTGCAAAGAAGGATTGGATACGGCTGCAAAGGGAGATCTATTAAAAATTAGGAAACCCGACGAAAGCGTCGCTCCCATTAAAGCCACGGATGAAAGGCTCCCCCTCGCTCTTTGCCGCGAGAGGCTTCCTGCTGCGCCGCTGATAAGAGACGCTCGTTTGATATCGAAGTCCCAGATGTTGGGGAGCGATTGCTAGGCGAATCCGAGCGAGAGAGATGAACCGTCTCCACAAAACGCAGCATCGGGATGTGGGGGACCCCTCACCTGCTATGGGCCCCGATCCAGGAGACGTCCACGCTAGAGGTTGCGTGCTTGCTGCCCGCCTGGATCTCCGCGTTCAGCAGCCAGTTGGGGTGCCGGGTTCGAGTCGCCAGCAGGTTGACCCCCTTCTTGGCCTTCACTCTGCAACATCAACGTAGAAGGATTTCAGTGGAAGACTGAAATCATCATACTAGTAGTAGTAGTAGTAGTAGTAGTACTAATAATAATAATAATAATAATAGGAGGAACCCCAGGGGCTGCCCAGCCTTTGCAACAACAACAGCAACAACAATAGAAGAAGAACCCGTGGGGCCATTCAGCCGTTGCAATGATGATGATGATAATAATAATAATAATAATAATAATAATAATAATAACAACATCAACAACAACAGAAGCAACCCGAGGGGCCATCCAGCCTTTGCAATGATGATAATAATAATAATAATAATAATAATAATAATAATAATAATAATGGAGCCATTCAGCCTTTGCAATAACAACAATAACAATAACAACAACAGAAGCAAACCCAGGGGCCATTCAGCTTTTTGCTGGATAACATAACAATAAAACTAAAAACAGAAGGAAACCCAGGAGCCATCTAGCCTTTGCAATAATAATAATAGTAATAATTACAACAACAATAACAAAAGCAACCTGAGGGGCCATCCAGCCTTTGCAATATTATTATTAATAACAATATTAATATCAAACCCAGAGGCCATCCAGCTTTTGCAATAATAATAATAATAATAACAACAGCAGCAGAAGCAGAAGCAACTTGAGGGGCCATCCAGCATTTGCAATGATAATAATAATAATAGTAATAATAATAATAGCAATCTCTGGGGCGGTATACAAGCAAAGTAAATAAATAAACAAACAACAATAATAATAATAATAGAAAACCCAGGGGCTATCGAGCTTTTGTAATAATAATAATAATAATAATAATAATAATAATAATAATAGCAGCAATCTCTGGGGCCATCCAGCTTTGCAATAATAACAATAATAGAAGCAAACCCAGGGGCCATCCAACCTTTGTAATGATAACAACAACAACAATAATAGCAATGTCTGGGCCATCCAGCCGTTGCAATAATAATAATAATAATAATGATGATGATGATGATGATGATGATGATGATGGAGGCATCCAACCTTTGCAGCAGCAACAACAACAACAACAGAAGCAAACCCAGGAGCCATCCAGCTTTTGCAATAATAATAATAATAATAATAATAATAATAATAATAATAATAATAATAGCAACAACAACACATTGGAGATGTGCAGACTAAAATACAACAGTAGAGAAGTGCAAACCAACTTTGGAATTCTAGGTGTTTTGGACTCTAACTGGCTGTTAGGAATTGCGGGAGCTGAAGTCCCAAACTCCTGGAAGGAGGCCAAAGTTGGCCCGTGCCTGCTTAAGACACTAAGGTGAAAACCCCTGGAAGGAGGGCCAAAGTTGGCCCATGCCTGCTTAAGACACTAAGGTGAAAACCCCTGGAAGGAGGGCCAAAGTTGGCCCGTGCCTGCTTAAGACACTAAGGTGAAAACCCCTGGAAGGAGGGCCAAAGTTGGCCCATGCCTGCTTAAAACACTAAGGTGAAAACCCCTGGAAGGAGGGCCAAAGTTGGCCCGTGCCTGCTTAAGACACTAAGGTGAAAACCCCTGGAAGGAGGGCCAAAGTTGGCCCGTGCCTGCTTAAGACACTAAGGTGAAAACCCCTGGAAGGAGGGCCAAAGTTGGCCCATGCCTGCTTAAAACACTAAGGTGAAAACCCCTGGAAGGAGGGCCAAAGTTGGCCCGTGCCTGCTTAAGACACTAAGGTGAAAACCCCTGGAAGGAGGGCCAAAGTTGGCCCATGCCTGCTTAAGACACTAAGGTGAAAACCCCTGGAAGGAGGGCCAAAGTTGGCCCATGCCTGCTTAAGACACTAAGGTGAAAACCCCTGGAAGGAGGGCCAAAGTTGGCCCATGCCTGCTTAAGACACTAAGGTGAAAACCCCTGGAAGGAGGGCCAAAGTTGGCCCGTGCCTGCTTAAGACACTAAGGTGAAAACCCCTGGAAGGAGGGCCAAAGTTGGCCCATGCCTGCTTAAGACACTAAGGTGAAAACCCCTGGAAGGAGGGCCAAAGTTGGCCCATGCCTGCTTAAGACACTAAGGTGAAAACCCCTGGAAGGAGGGCCAAAGTTGGCCCATGCCTGCTTAAAACACTAAGGTGAAAACCCCTGGAAGGAGGGCCAAAGTTGGCCCGTGCCTGCTTAAGACACTAAGGTGAAAACCCCTGGAAGGAGGGCCAAAGTTGGCCCATGCCTGCTTAAGACACTAAGGTGAAAACCCCTGGAAGGAGGGCCAAAGTTGGCCCATGCCTGCTTAAGACACTAAGGTGAAAACCCCTGGAAGGAGGGCCAAAGTTGGCCCATGCCTGCTTAAAACACTAAGGTGAACTCCTGGGGCGGGCGAAGTTCGTAGTAAAATGCAGAGGCGAGGGCAACGATGCTCTCTGGTCTTACCTGAGGGTGAACTGCTCCACGGAGGAGTTCCCGGCCCGGAGGAGGGCCACGCGGAGGACCTCTCCCGGCCGCAGGGGCCCATCGGGGAGGCGGAGGAAGAGGTGGTCGTCCAGGCGCTGCTCTTGGAAGGGAGGGGAGGGCGGGGGTTGGACTAGGCGCAGGCTCCCGATCCGGAGCAACGGGTGCTGCGTGGGGCCCTCGGCCCGCGCTCCGGAGGGGCCCCGCCACCTCCCCGCCGCCTCGCCCTCGCAGTCCCCGCCCGCGTGCAGTGTGTAGTAGAGCTCCACTGCCTGGAAGTCGGGCTTGGCACCGGACGGGGCCCCGAACCAGGCTTGGGGCAGCTCAGCTTGGGCCAGGCAGGCGGCCAGCGCTCCGCGGAGTCGACACGCGGCCCGTAGCTCGAGTGCCTCGCGGAAGGCATGGAGGCGGACGCAAGGCAGCTGCTCACGGGGTGCTTCGATGTCGTCCCAGTCACGCCCGGCGACATAGAAGAACACTTGCGCGGCGGGCTCGTCGGCGGGCACCCGTGTCCGGACAATGAAGGCCCGCACCTTCCAGTTAACGGTGACACGGTCGGGCACCTCCAAGGTGCTGGAGGGCTGGAGGAGCTCCCTCGGCACAGCCTGGCCCACCACAAAGGGGCCCAAGGAGGCGTTCAGGACCGGCAGCTCCTTGGTCTGGAAGACCACAAACGGCTCCGAGTGGCTGGTGTTGCCAGGTGGAGGCGGAGGCGTGGTCGGGCGGAGGAAGAAGGCCAAGCGGGCGTTGGAGAGGCGGAAGGTGACCGGGAGGATGGCCACGGCCTCTGGCGGAGAGTCCTCAGTGGGCTCCGGACCAGTAGGGCTGACCTTGGCCTGAGCTGCAAAGAGAGACAAGTGGATAGATACTTAGATGCATACTCCAATGGGCAAATGAATAGATTAAAGACATGCATACATGGATGGATGGACGGATACCTATATGCAGAGAGAGAGATACTTATATGCACTGGTGGATGGATGGATAGATGGTTATATGCAATGATGGATGGATGGATGGATGGATGGA